ACAGAGGAAACGAGGGAAGGAAACCACAGAGGAAACATGAGAGAGGATTCAGGACCAAACGTCGGAGAAAATATTAGTCTCACAGTGAGGAGTTTGTCTCAACGACACAAGGACCAGGACGGGAGTAAAGGAGGTTTGGCAACTTACACAATCCTGAAACTGATATTAAAACTAAAAATATAAAAGTTCAAACACATTTATCTGGAAATAAAGACGTTGGCCTGACTGTGGTTTAAAAGTTCTGAAGTCTGTTCCCTTCACCCTCAGCTCGTGTCTCCTCTCCTCTGCTCCTCGCTCCTCCTCTGTGTCTCCTTCGTTTGCGGGTCTTCATCTCCCGTTTCCCGCCGAGTCGAATCGAGAAGGACGCGAGGAACGAGAAACGAGCCGCGCCCCTGGACTCAACAGGCAGCGAGGTAAACATGAGCTTCAGCCAAACAGTGCCCTCCTTTTGTGCTGGAGAAAAAAAAGGTAAGAACAGGATTAGAAAAAGTTTCATCGCTCGAGATTTGGCAACGACAACGAAAAACCCGAGAGAAGAGAAGTTTAAAGAGGAACTCAACAGGGAAACATCTCAAACATCTCAGACACGTCAACGGGAGCTGCTGACCCGAGCGTGAGCGAGGAGCAGGGCTGAGTATCGTTCAGAAGCTGCCGATACGATACCAACCTCGATACACAAGCGACGATACTTTTCTATTCAGTACGATTCAAATCTACTCGACACGGTTCAGTAAAAAACAAAGAGGAGAGGAGGAGGAGAGGAGGAGAGGAGGAGGAGAGGAGGAAGAGAGGAGGAGAGGAGGAGGAGGAAGGAGGAGAGGAGGAAGAGAGGAGGAGAGGAGGAGAGGAGGAGAGAGGAGGGGAAGGAGAGGAGGAAGAGAGGATGAGGAGGAGGGGGAGGAGAGGAGGAGAGAGGAGGAGGAGGAGAGGAGGAGAGAGGAGGAGAGAGGAGGAGGAGGAGAGGAGGAGGAGGAGGGGGAGGAGGAGGAGGAGGAGAGGAGGAGGAGGAGGGAGGAGAGGAGAGAGGAGGAGGAGGAGGAGAGGAGAGGAGGAGAGAGAGGAGGAGAGAGGAGGAGAGAGAGGAGGAGGAGGGAGGAGAGGAGGAGGAGAGGAGGAGGAGAGAGGAGGAGGAGGAGGAGGAAGGAGAGAGGAGGAGGAGGAGGAGGAAGAGAGGAGGAGGAGAGGAGAGAGAGAGGAGGAGGAGGAGAAGGAGGAGGAGAGAGGAGGAGAGAGGAGAGAGGAGGAGAGGAGGAGGAGAGGAGGAGGAGAGGAGGAGGAGGAGGAGGAGGAGGAGGAGGAGGAGGAGGAGGAGGAGGAGGAGAGGAGGAGAGAGAGAGGAGGAGGAGGAGGAGGAGGAGGAGAAGGAGGAGAGGAGGAGAGGAGGAGAGGAGGAGGAGAGGGAGAGAGGAGGAGAGGAGGAGGAGAGGAGAGAGGAGGAGGAGGAGGAGGAGGAGGAGGAGAGAGGAAGGAGAGGAGGAGGAGAGAGAGGAGAGGAGGAGGAGAGGAGAGGAGGAGGAGAGGAGGAGGAGGAGGAGAGAGGAGAGGAGGAGGAGAGAGAGGAGGAGGAGAGGAGGAGGAGAGGAGGAGGAGGAGGAGAGAGGAGGAGGAAGAGAGGAGGAGGAGGAGGAGGAGGAGAGAGAGGAGAGGAGGAGAGAGGAGAGAGAGGAGAGGAGAGGAGAGGAGAGGAGAGAGAGGAGGGAGAGGAGGAGGAGGAGGAGGAGAGGAGGAGGAGAGAGGAGAGAGGAGGAGGAGAGGAGGAGAGGAGAGGAGAGGAGGGAGGAGGAGAGAGGAGGAGAGGAGGAGGAGAGAGAGGAGGAGGAGAGGAGGAAGAGAGGAGGAGAGAGGAGGAGAGGAGAGAGGAGGAGGAGGAGAGGGAGGAGGAGGAGAGAGGAGGAGAGAGAGGAGGAGAGAGAGGAGGAGGAGGAGGAGGAGAGGAGGGAGGAGAGGAGGAGAGAGGAGGAGGAAGAGAGGAAGGAGGAGGAGAGGAGGAGGGGAGGAGGAGGAGGAGGAGAGAGAGAGAGGAGGAGGAGGAGAGAGGAGGAGAGGAGGAGGAGAGGAGGAGGAGGAGAGGAGGAGGAGGAGGAGGAGAGGAGGAGGAGAGAGAGGAGAGAGAGGAGGAGGAGAGGAGAGAGGAGAGGAGGAGGAGAGGAGAGGAGAGGAGGGAGAGAGGAGGAGGAGGAGGAGGAGGAGGAGAGAGAGGAGGAGGAGAGGAGGAGGAGGAGGAGGAGAGAGAGGAGGAGGAGAGGAGAGGAGGAGGAGAGAGGAGGAGGAGAGGAGGAGGAGGAGGAGGAGGAGAGGAGGAGGAGGAGGAGGAGAGGGAGGAGGAGGAGAGGAGGAGGAGGAGGAGGAGAGGAGAGAGGAGGAGGAAGAGAGGAGGAGAGGAGGAGGAGAGGAGAGGAGGGCACTGTACTCGCTCACGTCGACTCTCAGAATCCCGCGATGGCTGCACAATAAAACCAAACCTGTTACAATAATGTGGATTTAGGGGATTTTTCAGATTATAACCTGCACTTTTTTCATGGTTTGTGTGTTTCCTGTGTCTATAATTTCACATGTTTGTTATTTTCACACTGGAGCCAGGAGGGGGCGCTCCAGGCTCCTGGGCCAGTATCTACTCCTGCTAGTCCTTTAAAAACTAGAATTTAAAATTTAGAAATGAAATGATAAAGACGACTGAGAAAGACTGAACACAAACGCTCCCGAAAAAAGGAAATCAGATTCTGCAGATTACAAAACGCAAGTTGAGAAATCTGCAGCTGAAAGAAAGTTTGGAGCGAGAGAAAAACTTGTGACACCGAGAGGAGGAACCGTGAAACTCTCCTGAAGAGACTAGACGGACAAAGTCTGGACGTCAGAGACACCGAGACCATCCTGTCGAGATTCAGAAAGACACAATAACTCAGTAATATAATTATAATATTATATAATATTATTATTATATAAATATAATAATTCAATAATTAAATATAACAAGGTCTAACCAGGTCTAAACCAGGTCTAAACCAGGTCTAATCCAGGTCTAAACCAGGTCTAAACCAGGTCTAAACCAGGTCTAATCCAGGTCTAAACCAGGTCTAAACCAGGTCTAAACCAGGTCTAAACCAGGTCTAATCCAGGTCTAAACCAGGTCTAAACCAGGTCTAATCCAGGTCTAAACCAGGTCTAAACCAGGTCTAAACAAGGTCTAAACCAGGTCTAAACCAGGTCTAAACCAGGTCTAATCCAGGTCTAAACCAGGTCTAATCCAGGTCTAATCCAGGTCTAAACCAGGTCTAAACCAGGTCTAAACCAGGTCTAAACCAGGTCTAAACCAGGTCTAATCCAGGTCTAATCCAGGTCTAAACAAGATCTAAACCAGGTCTAAACCAAGGTCTAAACCAGGTCTAATCCAGGTCTAAACCAGGTCTAAACCAGGTCTAATCCAGGTCTAATCCAGGTCTAAACCAGGTCTAAACCAAGGTCTAAACCAGGTCTAAACCAAGGTCTAAACCAGGTCTAAACCAGGTCTAAACCAAGGTCTAAACCAGGTCTAAACCAGGTCTAAACCAGGTCTAAACCAGGTCTAAACCAGGACTAATCCAGGTTTAAACCAGGGTCCTTCAGTGACACTAAAACCATCCTGTCAGAATAATTGAAGAGTTTGTGTGGCTCTGTTTCCCTCCGGAGGTCGAGTTGTACAGAAGTGACACCGAGGATGAAGAACTGAAGTGATTTAGTGATTTGAAGTGAGATGGAGAGTTTAGTCTGTTTTTTATGCTCTGAATAACTATTAATATGTTAGATTAACATACCAGACGCCTCTTCAGTCTGTTGTTCTCTGTTCTGTTGCTAGAACTTCACTTTCAACATGAAATGTCGGTTCCTGGTCTCTGATTTTATTAAATTTATTTCCCCCAAAAAGTGCAAATTATATATGTTTTTTTCTTCTTCATGACGCATTTTTTAGCTGGTGCAACTTATAGTCTGAAATATACAGTATATATTTTTTGTCTTCAGACGATTTTAAAAAATTTCACAGTTGCCACGGTAACTGCTGAACATTCTGCCCATAGAGACACATGTAGAACTCCCACCGCAAAGTATCAACCGTCGTATTTGGGCCGAGAACGTCTCAGTGTTTCACAACTGGCTCTTTGCGTTTGAGTCGACTTGAGTTTAAAGGAAATGAGTTCAATTTTCTGTCCCTACGCCGGTATCGGTTAATATCGGGGATCGACAGATACTTAAAATCAAAGTATCGATGGCGGTATCGGAACTGAAAAAGCTGGATCGGTGCGTTTTTGATTAGAAGAGCATAAAAACCTGTCGTACGCACTTTAAAGGTGCACTGTGGAACTTTCTGGTGGAGGGTGGCACTAAATTTCCATTTCCGTTTTTTTTTATTTTATGATTTTCTGATTTTGGTCGTATTTGAAAAGTCGGATCTGTGTGGTTCAGACTGTTTTTAAAAGATCAGAAACAGGAGCGCAGGTCACTTCAGGCTCCGGACTGAACGGAGACGAAGTTTTTACTCCGAACAGTGTGAACGTTTGTGGTTTGTGGACCTCGTTCTCTCGGAAATGTGACACGGTTCACGTCTAAACGCGCTCGGATGAAAATATCACGTCGTTTCCGTTGTATTGTGCAGCCCCGGTTCTGACCCGAGCGGGACGAGCGCAGCTGGTGTCGGGACGAGTCGAGCGGCTAAAAATAACACTGCAGATATGGCATCGGACGGAGAAAAAAACTAAACAAAAAACGATTAAATAAAAGCAAAACTCAAACAAACATGTGCAGTTCTTCAAAATAAATAGAAGGAGCAGGCTCAGAGTCTGGCGGCGGCGGCGGTGGTGGGCGGGGCTGAGGGGGCGGGACTAGAGGCGGTTGGGGGCGTGTGGGCGGGGCTGAGGGGGCAGGGGGCGGGACTAGAGGCGGTTGGGGGCGTGTGGGCGGGGCTGAGGGGCAGGGGGCGGGACTAGAGGCGGTTGGGGGCGTGTGGGCGGGCTGAGGGGGCAGGGGCG